AAAATCACTTTTAAATAGGTGTCAATCCTTTTTAAACAAACAGTTTTGTTTTTTAAAGCGTTCTCATCTCATACCTATTTCGCATCTAATAATTTATTTGTTTATCCATATATCCAGATATTCTAAAGAGCTAAAGAGATTCGTAAAACTGTTTTCAAAATTACGGAATTTACCGCAAATTATGAAAAAAAATTAAAAATCTAACACCTTTTTTAACTTTGTCTTATTTTTTTGTTCAAATCTGTCCTGCTGTGAAAAAATTTAAGCTCCTTACGACGAAAATCAGCGAATAAATAAACCACTTTTGAATGGTTAAAGGAAAATGTGTAATTTTTTTTTTTTGTATGAAATTGGAGCAAAAAAAGTAACTTATACGCCGGGTCGTACATCGCGTATGAGTAACATTTACCATATTAAAATTAAAATTTTTGTTCATTCGCAATGCAAACTTAAAAAGAAAATATTTGCGGTGAATGAACTGATCTACAAAAATAATATACAGATCCGTAATCTTCAACTCAAAATTGAGTCTACGTGGCTCGGCGTTTTTGCATCATTTAAGCGTCCCTATAGTGTAATAGACCACTTCGTTATTAAACAAACAATTCGTATTTTATTGTATACTTTTAGATTCGAAAATCAGGATATCCGTTTATAATCCCTTATATTTTGATAACCGGATATTCGTGTAGCCGGATATCCGGATATTTGGGTATATAAGTACTCAAGTACTCGAGTATCCGGGTATTCGAATTTTTTAATCAGATCTTTGAAGAGTCGAATAACCGGATAGTCATGAAATCTGCTTAGTACTGCCAGCCTTAGTGTAACCTCTTTCCAAAACTACAACTAAAATTATAGTATTCACAAAGTTCATAGCAAGGGTAAGATTGACATATTTTGAAAATCTCTATGCTATACAAAAATAAAAATAAAAATCCCTGCTCGTAAATAAGTTGACAGAATTCTGGACTCTAAATTTTAAAATACTGATCCACCATATAAAAAATTAACTACCAGACATGAAAGTAGCTGCCCGCTGACCACTTATTAACGGATAAATTCATATTTATGTACTACTTAGGTTATACACATACATACATTTCGTGTATTCAATTGTCACATACCTTTATATATATGTACATACTTATGTACGTATGTATATGTACGAGCGTTTGCAGTCATTCCCACAAGTAGTATAACAAATTAAAGCCCTTCAACATTCGCGTTAATACCACTAAGTAGACAATTATCGGTTTTTGCATATTTGCGCTGGTATTGCGATACTGAAATCGTAAATAAATACATGGGTAAGCTAGCGGATTGCGGATTTTACCCACACACTACTAACTACTTACTACCATTACTCGCTCGTGCATTCAAGCAGAGTAGATTTAGTAGAGCATTTGCAGTTAATTTGCGTTAACTTCGTTTGCATTTATAAGTGCATACTTGCAACATGAGCTGACACAAACATACAACATATCTAGGCACATACATATGTATGTACATATGTACATTAGACCGTACTGCCTTACAAGCATAGAAAAACAGTTCAACGTACAGCCTTCAATCGAAAGTATTTTTTCGAGGCAAATTCGAATAATTAATTCTTTATTTTTTGTTAAGGTGATAACAACTGAGATCTGGTGGATGAGTACTAGAACAGTGTACTTGAGTTCAATAAACTTTTCAGAAAATCACTCAAAGTGGCGAATGTGACTGTGGAAGATATGCCGGAAAATTTTAAGCTGCAAACGCAACGTTCGGCAAAGAAAAAAAGAAATTGCCCTTCAACCGAAATACATGCTTCACAAAAGTTAGTATATGACATTAGGGTGGTATGTTAGGGTCGCAGAAACTGCGATCTGCTTGGCAAGTATCAGAACGGGGCACCTGAGGTTAAAAAATGTTCTCCTTGAGTCGAGCTCATCGTTATATATGTATATATGTACTTTAAGATCGGACTGTAAATGCCGAAAATAAGTATCACGAAAAATTTAAAACGGCGATCCTTTCGTTCGGCCAAGAGACTTTTCTGGTGCGATCTAATGTACATACATAAGTAGTATTTGTGTGTCTATGCTAGCAAATCAATTGGCAGCTAGAAATAGGTAACCACTGCAACTTTGTAAGCTTATGCTGCTGCTTCCGCTCCATAACAGTTATGCATTTGTTGCAATTCTGAATCTAGTATGAATTGATGCATATATGGGGCGTTCCATATCAAAATGGACGGGGTTCACACTTCAAGTGTTTGATTTGTTTCAAATTTTTAGAGTAGATGGACAAATGCTTAAACTTGCACCTTATTATACTAATACTACAAAACTGCATACTCAAAATAATCCTATAAAAACTTAAAAAAAAATTTAAATTTGTAATGTACTCATTTTACTCAACGTTGGTGTAAAAAAAAAAATTCATAACTCAAATTATTGCAGAGTGCACCCCGTAATAATATTCTTAAATATTGCGCAATACTCAGAGCTACCATTATGTTTTTTTTAAATTATTTTTCAGATGGCATATTTTCAAAAACTATTTTTTTTATCAAAAAATTTGTATGTAAAAAATTTTTCAAGAAAAATTTTTGAAGATTTTTTTTTTTTTAATATTTCATTTCAAAGAGAATTTTTATGTGTGTATATGTGATTTTGTTCAAAATTTTTCCTCTCCCCGTTCTCGAAATATTTGGAAAAATATTATATCGGTTTTTTTTTGTTTTTGTGCTGTAAAGCTTTTAAATATGTATTAATCAAGCTAGAATTTCATATTTATTTATTATTTATGTTTATGCATCAACCCTAAAAACTTGAAAAAACAAACACATGAAGTGTAAACCCCTTCCGTTTTGGTATGGAACACCCCATATACATGTGGGTATACATATGTACATATGTATGTTTTTATGCAGGTATTTGCGCTTGTGTTCCTACGCTATTGTTCGTGCACTTACAATTGTGTTTATTACGCACTAATTATTGTACAATTACTAGTATCAGCCGATAATTACAAAATTTATGTAGATTTCGTGATCAATGTTTATTAAAGTAGACAAACTATAAACCAAATGGGTGGTAGACCAGCATATGCATGCATGTATGATACATATTTAGGTACATAAATATATGCAGACATATTCATGCAAATAGTTAGGTAAGCACGTACATACGATAATAGATGAAAACGCCATTTAAGTATATAATCGCCAAATCATAGTGTTATCAATCGGTGATGATCGGAATAGTTTATTGGCTTAGTGACAGCTAAAAAACAAGGACAATTTTTTTTTGCTACACAGAAGATTTAACGCTAATTTATTGTATTAATGGGATCACATACAGTTCCGGATATTAAATGATACACATACATAGTTATAGACAATGTAAACATTTTCGGCAATACCACCGGTGTTGGTCCATCCGCGCTAATTAGGATCATCAAGAAATGTCCAAAGCTCTTAGGCGGTGTTTTCAAGACAACATATAAAAATGTAAGTAAATTGTATTCAAGAAATTTTTCCACAAGCCAGACGTAAATCCTTAAAGCAGCACCTTTAGTGTGCAGAGTTTAGCGTTCGAAGGAAAAATTACCTACTCTCTTTTTCACAAGGCCTTCCGAGTAATGAAGCAGTTTTTTTTGTTTGCAACAGAAACAACAACAGTAACACTTCCCCAGCTATCTGGTGATGACACTCCATAAAGTCCTACACATCGGTCAGGAATTTGGTGAATAAAAAGCACCTGCGCCGAACCTTGTTCCCAGCATTGCTCTGTTTGCAATAATCAAAAATCCGCATGTATTTCCCTGTACTAAAAATCTGTGTTTCATGGCAGTAATTTTTTTACATAGCGTCATAAAAGAAGCAAAAATTGATTCTATCACAAAGCTCAGGCAAGCCAGTAGGTAAGCTCGGATTAGCAGCACCATCTGCCTTCCTGACAGCATAGATATACTATTGGAGAAGATAATCATAAATTGGTTGACGACCTTTACAAACAAATAAGGCGGTTAGCCTTCGGCTTCTTATGGAGTAATCGACACTAGATGGTAATTCAGAAAGCTCGAACTATTAAAAATTAAAATATATATGGGCCCACTACTTTGTGAATATTATACGAAGCTATTATTAATATTTTCATGTATGCTACCAAATTTGGCCCCTAAATATTCTACGTCACATCGGGCGTACCACAGGATTCTGTGCTGTGTGCTTTCTTATGTAATGTCATGCCGAACAAGGTGCTCGCTCTTTATATGAAGTTCTGTGGACGACTTGCCTCTTATTGTTATTACTGAACAGTTAGCGAAAATTTCTGCAGAACCAACGCAATTATAGAGAACATTTTAATCGGCGGCCAGAGGTGGGTTTACCATTATACGAAGTAAAAATCGTTTTGGTAAAACATACATATGTAGGTGTTGTCATGCGCACAATAAACCGATATGTCTATTTTTTCTTCTATTCAACTGACAATGAACCTAAGTCATGAACTGAAAATATACTTGCAGAAGAGTCTAGGACATACAGGCGACAAGCGAGAGAGCAAAAAAACTTGTGCACTTACCACCAAAATGCAGAAAGAAGAAATTGCTAAATTGGGTATAAAGCTTCTGCGGCATTATAACCTGAAACTATGTGCTTAAAAAAATTTTAAAAAATTCGATCTTAGTTTCCAGTTCCATTTTTGTTTTAATTTCTACTTCCGTTAATAGAAAATTGTTTGTGAAAATTAATTTCGTACTTTTCTTTAATTTTCACATCACAAAGTACCAAAAAACAATATCAAATTAATTATAGTGCGCTTTCGTCTTGTTATAATCTACAATTTATGTAGTTTGACAAGCTATCTTAAAAAACCGACAATGCACGATTTTTATATGAAGATGAATTTTTTTTTTTTTTTGAAAGGTAAATGCGTTTTGATAACATGATATTCCTAAAAATAAATATATACACAAAATATATACGTTTATTTTGGCTGTTTTCTACTTACCGCGTCGGGACCGGTGGGAAAATCGACGAAAGGTGGAAATGTTGCCGATTCACCTTTCGGCCCTGGTGGGCCTGGTGGTCCCGGTGGACCACGTATACTATCACCGGGTGGTCCTTTTGGTCCACGTTCACCTTTTTCACCTTTTATTGTACGATAAGCTGTAAAAATAACGAGAAAAGATGTATGAATACCTTACAAATAATGGATAGAATGAAATGAAGTTAATTTGTGCGCACTACGTTGCGTATACGCAACTACATACATATTTTTAAACAAACACATAATCCTCAAATATTACTGACTACGGAAATTTGTATTAACTAAAAGAGTTTATGTATGAAATAACGCCCAAATTCAAAAATCAAATATTTGTAACAAAACGTCACTTTATAGAGCTCTTTAAAATTAGTTTATTTTTTTATGAATAAGAGTTTGCTGCTCATGCTTAAAATGTGTCCAAAATTATTCACTCAAATCAATCTCATAAAAGGGATTACACATCTGCTTTATAATATCGATTAATAATCGGTAGTCAACGATATAGACCTCGAACTTTTTTGTTGCTACAAAACTCTGCCCCGTCAAATCATCTGCTATTCTAACAGTGTTCAAGTTTAAGGTACTTCCATTTGTGTCACAACATCTATTATCATAGGTATGATATAAATTGACCGCGTTACTTTTGGATCCAAAGATTTTTTAAATATGTAAAATCTTTATTGTCACTTGCGATGATCCACAATATTACATAGTGCATCTAAAATGTAAATTTTATGACTATTTTTGCTGCGTTTTTTCCCCTGTAAAAACACACAACACTGATGCACAATTATGCATATGTAAATGTGGTGTACACTTGTTTGTTTACATACGTGAGTACGGTATGGATCAGTGTACCCTGCAGTGAAAACTACTAGTCGGGAACTAGAATCATAACAGTGTTACTTGTAGATTTACTAGTTCGGTGACCAGATTTCTGTGGACAAATATCGGAACATTTCTGAAGTATCGAATCCGTGCATACAATTTTGTTTATAGAATAAAAAGACATAACATCTTTTTATATGTATACACTTAGGTCTTTTCTTATGCGGCGCATGCGTTTCTCAGAAAGCCGCATAAAAATGTTCTTTACTTTGATGCAAAAACGGGGGATGCGTTCCAGTATTTTCAAAAACCGCATAAATTCAGATACTCCATGTAAAAATTCTAAGAACCCGCATAAAAAATCCACTTAGGCAATATTAAGCAAAACCAAAAAAGAGCAGCGCTGTGTTCGGCTATGCCGAAGGCTTCGTACCTTTCATGAACATCTGAAAACTTTACTTTAACAGATTACTGCATCCCACTGGGAAAATAGGTAAGCACCTTACGAGGTAAACCATGTTTTCTTTCAGTTTTTAGTACCAAAATTGTCATCATGGCCAATGTCATCTACTAGTAAAGCACAAAATGAACACCTCCAACGACACATTACATTGTCAGTTGCAAAATAACGTGCAGCCGAAGTTATTTCCAAGCAACGAACTACTCCGAGCGACTGCTCTGCATAACACATAACTTACTTTGTAAAGCGGCTCAGAAGTATGTCTGATACCAAATGTACATTCTAAATTCTTACTTACATAAGGCGGCCACGTCTTTGTTAAAGTAAGGGAGATTCGTCAGTGACGTGGTAAGGACAGCCGGGTGAAGTGCAAGTTTCTGGTAAGGAAATTCTACGGTAACCCCAAAAATCGGTTTTGAGTCATACTTTGAAGGCAACCTGTGTCGTAGAGTTTTTTTGTGAAAAAAGCTCATCGAGGAAATATATTTTGATTTGCCTAAACATCTGCTTCACTGTGGAAGTGCAGAAATCGCTCGTGACTATAAAGGTGCACTTTCTACAATCGCAGTTTCCTCATCCTCAGAGCATATGGTGAAGTAGTTTTCTTGGTCAAGATGTATTTGCTTTAGACAATACGGAATCAGCTCAAAGTCTTTGTTGGGCATGATTTGAACAGCACAGTATTTTCATCGTAAGCTAACCTATGAACCCTGATTGAGAATACCTGGTGTTTAAATCTCTCATCTCTAATATCAACCTCACTCTTTCGTAATTATTTGGTTTTCTAAATTCCAAAAGTATTTTTTTAGTTTGATACTCGTATCTATTTAGCACTATCTATCTATTTAGAAATCCAGAACGCACATTATAACGGAGATATTTCTCTAGTTATTTACAGCAATTATTTACTTACGTCTTTCGTGTGAATACGGAGGTGGCGTTTGTGGTGGAAATCCACTGGCATCGTCCGTCGCCTGAAAATGATGAAAAATAAAAGTGTATGATTAGTGCTTAGAATAACAAAATTTGGTATGACTGCAAAATTTTATTAAAAAAGTGCATATTTTAGAAAAAATTCTCAGGGGTTATGAATTAAAGGAAATTTTATAAAATTTAATTGAAAAATTTTTATGTTAGTTGTTTATAAATCCATGTCAAATTGGGTTTGAAAACAAATCGCTTTCAGCGTTGTGCCATCTTCATTTCATAGAACTAACTAAATTCGACTTTTCAAACAGGTGGTAACCCTGTACAAAATTATAAATCACTAGCATCTGACATTGTCGTACATGTTTTAGTAAACTGACGATTTAAGTTGAATTTAACTTTTTAAACAGATGGTAACGCTCCTACAAATTGTAGTTCAAAAATAAAGTTTTTTCAAACAAATTTAAATTGATAGCCACCGTTTAATGCTTTATTAAATGATTATTAAATTATTTGAATGTAACTATTTAAATAGATGGCAACCTTCTCAAAAACACCTGAAAAATATTCTAAACATTAAAACTGGTAATTTCCAAACATCTTTCGTTTGACACTCATTTTTTAATATCTCATACAAATTTAGTGCAATTTCAATTAATACAACTTTTTAAACAGTCGGCAACCCTCTTAAAAGATTTTCAAACTAAAACTTTTTTAAATATTGCGATACGTATTTAAATTACCCAATTTCTCTAATTTAAATTTAATTTGATTTTTACATAGGTGGCAACGCTCCTACATGTAGTTTAAAAACTAAACATTTTTAAACCCATCACATTTAATACCCATCTTTAACTTATTAAATAATTTGAATTTAATTTTTTAATAGGTGGCAACACTTCTCAAATAACTAAAACTTTATTGCACATCTGCAGGCCAAGCTCGTTAATTTGACGCCTCATTTTTGAAAATTCAACGAACAGCCCAAATTGACAAAATCAGGCTTCCTAAAATTCATTTGTTCTTATTTTATATGGGTTGAAATCTTCCTTTTAAATTTAAAAAATGGCGTGAGTACAATTTAATACATTAAAAAAATAAATAAAATTTTTTAGCAGTATCCCACGGGTACATACATAGTTTACAATGGTCGCGGTTCACAAAGCCGCCGCCAGCGTTCGAAGTTTTAAGAGCTTGATAACTTTTTTTTTAAAAAAAACGCATAAAATTTGCAAAATCTCATCGGTTCTTTATTTGAAACGTTAGATTGGTCCATGACATTTACTTTTTGAAGATAATTTCATTTAAATGTTGACCGCGGCTGCGTCTTAGGTGGTCCATTCGGAAAGTCCAATTTTGGGCAACTTTTTCGAGCATTTCGGCCGGAATAGCCCGAATTTCTTCGGAAATGTTGTCTTCCAAAGCTGGAATAGTTGCTGGCTTATTTCTGTAGACTTTAGACTTGACGTAGCCCCACAAAAAATAGTCTAAAGGCGTCAAATCGCATGATCTTGGTGGCCAACTTACCGGTCCATTTCTTGAGATGAATTGTTCTCCGAAGTTTTCCCTCAAAATGGCCATAGAATCGCGAGCTGTGTGGCATGTAGCGCCATCTTGTTGAAACCACATGTCAACCAAGTTCAGTTCTTCCATTTTTGGCAACAAAAAGTTTGTTAGCATCGAACGATAGCGATCGCCATTCACCGTAACGTTGCGTCCAACAGCATCTTTGAAAAAATACGGTCCAATGATTCCACCAGCGTACAAACCACACCAAACAGTGCATTTTTCGGGATGCATGGGCAGTTCTTGAACGGCTTCTGGTTGCTCTTCACTCCAAATGCGGCAATTTTGCTTATTTACGAAGCCATTCAACCAGAAATGAGCCTCATCGCTGAACAAAATTTGTCGATAAAAAAGCGGATTTTCTGCCAACTTTTCTAGGGCCCATTCACTGAAAATTCGACGTTGTGGCAGATCGTTCGGCTTCAGTTCTTGCACGAGCTGTATTTTATACGGTTTTACACCAAGATATTTGCGTAAAATCTTCCATGTGGTCGAATAACACAAACCCAATTGCTGCGAACGGCGACGAATCGACATTTCACGGTCTTCAGCAACACTCTCAGAAACAGACGCAATATTCTCTTCTGTACGCACTGTACGCATTCGTGTGGTTGGTTTAATGTCCAATAAAGTAAACTGAGTGCGAAACTTGGTCACAATCGCATTAATTGTTTACTTGGTCGATTATGTAGACCATAAATCGGACGTAAAGCGCGAAACACATTTCGAACCGAACACTGATTTTGGTAATAAAATTCAATGATTTGCAAGCGTTGCTCGTTAGTAAGTCTATTCATGATGAAATTTCAAAGCATACTGAGCATCTTTCTCTTTGACACCATGTCTGAAATCCCACGTGATCTGTCAAATACTAATGCATGAAAATCCTAACCTCAAAAAAATCACCCGTTATACTACTTTTATTTATTTTTTGTTTTAATGCTCTTCCATACCTTTCAACTACCTTTCTTTATGCACAACAAAAATTGACAATGCATTTTATGCTTCGCGGCACAAAGCAAAATGTGACACATTTTTCATAGCTTTTCAACTTTTTTTGTTTTGTTTTTTTTGGTAACTTTGTATGAATTTTTTTTTCTTCTTTTACTTCATATTGTTTGCACTTCAACATTTTTGGTTTTCCTACTCCAATGCACAATAAAAATTTATTTGCAACTTATCAATATGTTACGAGCAAATAAAAATTCCAGAGCCAACATTGGCATGAATACGAGTACGCGATGTTTCTCTTAGCCAACGCTCACCAACTAAAGCTGACTTTGCTTTTGTTTGCTAGTGTATAAGTATGTGTGTATGTATGTATGTATGTGCAGCCACAGCTGTGACATTTTTCCAATTCGAATGTGGGTGTGCATCACCTCTAGTGGGTGTAAAATAAATGTTGTGTAAGCGCTTTGAATATGAACCATAAATATGTGTATGTATGTATGTATGTATGTATGTATGTATGTATGTGGAGCAATAAAGAGGCCAAAGAAAAAAAAATATAAGGAAATATGGCAAATGGCAAATGGTAGTCAAAGCGAGAACAAGTGCAATAATAACATGTACCATGAAAATGGCTAGAAGCGTTATAGAATTTACTATGTAACTACGTAAAAAATAAACAAACCAAAAAAAATACATGGTTGGTTGCTTGCTTTTATTTATTGCAATTTGTTGGAAACAATGAGTTTCTGAGTTCAGAACATCAGAAATGTTCAATGTGTAACTTATACATAAATACATCTCTATAAATCTATGTATGTACTATATACTATTGAACTGTTACTATTTGCATTTGTATGTACGCATTTATATTTTATTTTGTTTGCTTCAGTTGAAAATATTTCGTGAGCATTTACAATTCGTATTTACAATTCGTTGTAGTTGAGTATTTTGTACGAACGACATTGTGTTGATGATAATCCTACTTATTTTAATACAATTTTGAACAATAGCAGCAAATTTGTATATGTAAAAACATTTCGATAAATGTACTTTTAATAATTTAAAAACCTGCAGTGTACATTTTTTTTTAAGTAAAACTGTCCTTTAATTATAATTTTATCTGAAATGCTGGGAGTGCATTGGCATATAATCCCACTTCTGAGTATCTTATCCCCCATATAGGCAAACATGTTTTCTTTGCACCACTTTCACGGCTAAAGCATACTTTTAAAGTATAATGAATTGCATATCATTAGAAAGGTATTTGATTGCTAACTTGCAGAAAATTACTCAAATGAAGATAAAGGTCAGTACAAAGGTAAGGAAAAAGACAAACATTAAAACTAAAAAAAAGATAAGTGTATAAAGAAAAAAATAAAGACAAACAAACCACGAAGACAAAGATAGAGATAGACAGATAAAAATAAACAAAAGAAGATAAAACTTTTATGTTATGTTATGCTGTGTTATGTTATATCAAGTTATGTTATGTTTTGTTAAGCGCATAAAAATACAGCGATTGCGTTGGCTTGGACATGTTGTACGCATGGATGACGACTCTCCGGTGAAAAGATCCTTCGACTCCGCACCCATGGGTGGACTACGAAAGCAAGGGCGCCCAAGAACGTAATGGAAGGACCAAGTGCAGAAGGACCTGTCTGCCCTCGGGATAACCAACTGGCGCAAATTCGCGCAGGATAGAAGCAATTAGAAAAGCTTTTTGGTCTCGGCCCAAACCGACAAACGGTTGTAGTGCCAGATAAGAAGAAGATGTTATGTTTTGTTGTGTTATGCTATGTTATGTTATGTTGTGGTATATTATATCATGTTATTTTAAATTATGTTATGTTATATTAGGTTCAGTTATGTTGTTCAACGCATTTCTTGTCACATCAACTTCTCTAAGTTCACCTTAACCCAACACACCTCATTTCATGACAAATAAATCCAGCTAACTTCAGCTCACCTCACCTCAGCTCAACTCACCCTAACTCACCTTAACTTATTTAAACTCACCTCCCCTGAACTCACTTCGCTGCAATTCACTTTACCGTAACTCAACTCAACTCAACTCACCATAACACACCTCAACTCCACTTAGTTTTACTGGTTGAACTTCAACCGCTGGGCGAAAACTAGTAAACTTAAAGTTCCGATCAAGGTGTATTATGCCTCATAACCATGTAAACGTCGTAAACTTATTTAATAATTGTATGCAAAATCGGTTTAATTACGAGGTTTACTCGGTTTCGAGGCACTTAATGAATACCCATATTAAGAATTTCATTGGTTGGTATGTTTAAGCGGTGATAGCGGTCAAGATCTTATCGGAAAACTCGCTGCGTTTATAATATTTCACTCAGAGAAAATGCCCAAAAATTAGACAAAGCAGCAAAATTATTTTTCAATTGAAATTTTTTCAGTTTTCCAGTCATCAGTGTATACAATAAAAGAAGAGAAAAATAGTTCAGTTCAGAAATACTGCTTGCTGGTGCGTACTTTAGTAGCTTCCTAGCCTACGCATGTTTAA